AAATTGTTTAGATTATAATTTTAACTAATTAATTTTTTCTTAAATTCATATACAAGATTTAAGTAGTTAAAATAACTATTATTTTCTAATAATTTATAAATTAGTTTAGAAGCAAAAAGTAGTAAAATGGAGCAAGTACTTGCAAGTATACCATTTTTTTGCAAGTACTTGAAAATGCAAGTATTCGTTTTTAATAAACCAAATACAAGTCTAAAATTGTATTATTTGAACAAGCCAAGTCAAGTACTAAGTGAACCGATCTCGTTCGTCTTCTACGATCATGTTATGTAGAATGATACATGCTCTCATGATCTTTCCTACTTTTATTTTATCCCACAAAAGAGCTGGATTTTTTACTATGGCAAATCGAGCTTGCAAGACCCCAAAAGCTCGCTCGACATCTTTACGTACAGCTTCTTGATGTGTAGCGAATAAGGATGCTTTCGGATCTTGCGGAAGTTGAATAGATTGGATAAAAGTAGCCCAATTTGGATAAATAGCGTCGGTGAGATAGTAAGCCATTCGGTACTGGTGTCCATTGACAGTGTAATTAACTTTTGGAGCTTTACCGTGTAATATATCATCAAAAACATGTGATCGATCAAGAACATTGATATCGTATAATGTACCTGGAGGTCCAAAAAATGCATGCCATATCCAGAGGTCTTGTGACGCTACAGCCTCTAGAACAATGGTTGGCTTTCCTGATCCACGTGTATATTGACCTTTCCATGCGGTGGGACAATTCTTCCACTCCCAATGCATACAGTCAATGCTTCCTATCATCCCCGGAAATCCGCGTAGTTCTCCAATATCAAGTAGTCGTTGAAGATCTTCTGGCGTCGGTTTTCTTAGATACTCGTCTCCAAATAAATTTATGATTCCTTGAACAAAATGTTCCAAGCATAAAAGCGCGGTGGTCTCACCAAGTCGGAGGTATTCGTCGACCGCATCAGCTGCGCAACCATATGCCATCATACGAATAGCAGCTGTTGCCTTTTGTAACGGAGAGTGACCGAACCTTCCAGTAGCATCTCTTCTCTGTTGAAAGTATGGAATTTTGGCGGAGAGTCGATCAACGATACGCATGAACAATGACTTGTTCATTCTAAAACGGCGTCGAAAGACATGAGACGCATATGTTGCATCTTCACTAAAATAGTCGTTCCATAATTGTATCTGCCCTTGTTTTCGTTGTCTTTCAATGTAAGCTCGTTTATTTTTTGATCTTGATGCTTCTTGACGATTTTCAGCCCGAGTGAGGAGATTCTCCCATTTTTGATCGAACATTTCATCAAACTTTTCATCCATATAGTCTTCGAAATTATTAGAAGAAGAAGCATCCATTGAGTATAAGTGAAATGGTAATTTGAAATGGTAATAAAAAGAGAATTTAGAGTATGAGAAACGATAATTTGAAATGGTAAGAAAAAGAGAATTTTTGAACTGAGAAACACTAATTTTTGAATTTAGAGACACTGCTTTTTACAAACGATACCTCACAACTTGTATCTGATAAATGAGACTCTGGTTTTCACAAAAGATACCTCACAACTTATACACAACTCAACTTATATGCAACAATTTTTTAAAAACAATTTACTAAAATGTCTTGGCCTTGAGTGTCACGAGTTGTCCTTGGCTTTGAGTGTCACAAGCCTCGGTCTTGGCTGCTTCTGTCACAAGAAGTAGTTACGTCTTGGTTTTATTCTTCACCTGCAAGAGACACAAGCAAAACGTGGTTAAGTATTGTCCAACTAACAAAGCCACGACAAAACATAACCAAATTAACATTCAAGAACAATTTATGAAACACCGAACCATTAACTTTCATTAAACTTGAGACAGAAAACATCCATTAACCATAAAACATAAACTTAAGACATACAAACTTAAACAGAAACAGAATACAAACTTAAGACATAAACTTAAGACATACAAACTTAAAACAGAAACTTAAGACATAAACAAATACAGACTTGATACTTAAGACTCAAGCTATGACATCTCTAATGAGCTTATCTTTTAATTGCATTTCGAGTTCACTTAATGGCTCAGACTTGGAAATTAGGCTCTCAAGCAGTTTCTGCTTGCTAAGAGTGTCCTTATATTTAAATTCTTTCTGCCTAATCTCCCAAAAGCTTTGAAATTCCATCTTCTCCTTCTCTTCTGCTTCTTTGCTCGCTTGCTTCCCCACTGTCTTCTTTCCTATTGCCTTTGCTGCTTTAACACCTTCTGGCCGAGCCATTGCTTCATCTTCTCTGTGACTTACAGGCTCTGAGGTTGATGATTGATCATCCAACTTCCTTCTTTTTGACTGAATTTTATCTTTGGTAGCAGACGATGCAATCCATTTCTGATCATATCGTAGCTCTAACCAGGCATGTTCTAGAGTGAACTTGGCCTTGTTATCACTGAAGAAAATCTTGTGAGCATCGCTCAAGACGTCATTCTCGCTGTGTCCACTCCCGTTCCGCTTCTTTGCTGCTTCATAACATCCAACAAACCTACAGACGCCCTCATTAATCTTCCCCCATCTCGCTTTACATTGTGATGGCCCCCTCTTTTGCGCGCCATCCACCTTTCGACTTGCAGCAAAATAAGCAGAAATCCGCTTCCAAAAGGCATCTGCTTTCTGCTGATTTCCAACCACAGGGTCTTTCGAGGTGTTTAGCCAAGCACTTATCAGCACCACATCTTCTGTTGGTGACCATTTGCACTTAGACATCTTCTGTTTATGGCCAGACAAGATCTCTGCATCATCGTTGCCATCTTCGGTCCACTGTGAACCGAGCATAGAGGCATCAGACGCAGAGACTTCAACAGAAGGCGCATGAGGTTCAGGCTGATAAGGCTCACGAGGTTCAGGGTGATAAGGCTCACGAGGTTCAGGCTGATAAGGGTTTTGAGTGATTGGTTGTTGAGAGTGTAACAGGTTTTGAAAGCTACAATGTTGAGTATAAGGATCCATACTAGCTTTCGAGAAGGAAAGTAGATGGAGATTTTTAATAGCTTGAGGGGATGCTTAAAATGTTATCTAAACGTTGAAGTTTTAAAGGGTAGTTTTTAATGTTGTGGTTAGTTGTTGAAGTTTTAAATGTTTTTTACTAACAACCAACCATTTAGTTCTCGGGTTTCATTTACTAACAACCATCAAAGCTAACCACAATTTACTAACATGAATCAAATCTCACTCCCAACCATTTACTAACAACCAACTACATCTACTTCTCGGGTTTCATTAACTATAACAACCAACCATTTACTAACAACCAACTATATCTACTTCTCGGGTTTCATTAACTAACAACCAACTACATCTACTTAGACAGAAAATTAATTTACCTCTGTTGCAACTGAGAAATGAAAGGCATGAGCTTCTCCTCAACCCTCGCACAACCACATTATCAACCCTCGCACAACCAACAAACAAACCAAGTTTAATTAGTCGTTTGTTCTCTATCACAATAAACAAAAACAACAACAGAAAACAAATAAAAATTGGTCTGATCATGTGAACAATTTTTATTAACACAAAACAACTCAGAACTTAAGCATAGCGATTCCACAAACAATTAATCTCAATTTTACTAAGCTAAAAGAACTCAAAACTTAAGCATAATAGATCCAGAAACAAACATTTCATCTATTCGACAGTGAACAAAACTCTACTAGTAATCTAATAACAGATTTCACCGTTCTCAGTATTATAAAAATCTTAATCTACTAGTAATTAATTTTACAAAAGATGAGGGATGTGATCAAAAACGAAATGGAGACAACAGTAACATAAAGATCAAATCATCTTGATGATTTCTTACCGATGAGGGATCGAACGAGATTCTGGACAGAGAGAGACGACGAGATTCTGGACAGAGAGAGACGACAAGATTCGTCGGACCGACAGTGAGTTTCGAGACGTCATCGAGACTAGAGAGATACGACGAGATGAGACGAGCTTCGAGAGATGGGTGAGCTTCCTTCGAGAGAGAGAGAGATGAGGAGATTATCTAGAGAGATAGAGGAGGAGCCTCGACAGATATACGACGAGGCTCGAAGAGAGACGACGAGGCTCGACGGAGAGGAGGACGCCACTCCAGACAGAACACGAGTTCTGCTTCAGAATCGCCGAGATTCGAGAGAGAGAAGGCGGAGAAGACGAGAATGCATGTGGAGAGGTTGATCGTCACGAAGGAGAGAGAGATATTGGTTGGGGTCGAATGAGAACATGCCATGTTAGGGTGACTTAGTGATACTCTCAAGCCCAGATTCAGGAGCGATACTGTGAGAAAATGGGCTTTTTTATTTACTTTGTATTTATTTTTGGGTTTGGGTTGGGTAAAATCATCCCTAATGAAGGTGCTCTAAGTAGACAAGTACTAAGTAGACCAAAAATGGCAAGTATTTACTTGTGCCCACGCTTAAATAGAACCATTGAATTGGTCAAGACCCGTCGCATTGAACTTAATAAATGTAAGCATGAATTGACTTAAGTCACGTCATGCATGTGTCACGTAATCATTCTGAGTTCATACTGAATCGAATCGTTGAACTGGTCAGAAACCTTAATGAATTGTCTTGAATTAATATCTTTGATATTTACAAGATTTTTCCTTTTTTTATGGCAATAGTTTCCAAAATCTTTTAAAATTTTTGATTTTATGAGAAAATATTTGATTATATAAATGTTAAATCTCAATGAAGATAAATCCATAAATATGAGCAAACAAAAATTAAAAATCAGAAAATTCATTTTTAGAGGCAAACAAAATCCTTAAATAAGAACTGAAAAAGTAGAAAATAATACTATTGCCTATTGTGTAAACTGAAAAAAATTGGAAAATAGATCTTTTTGTTATTTACTCCTTATTTAACAGAGAAAAAGCCACGTGTCCATTAATAGCTTGCGCTCTACGGTCGAATCCTGTGGACCCAAGGCGTGCTTTTAACGGTGAGATAAAAAATTAATTTTTTTTATTTTTCCTACCAGCTTGAGAATCGTTTAAATCAAGTAGCTGGGATCTATCTAGGGTTTAGTTTCATCTTCGCGCAAGAGAATCATCATTGCTTCGAATCAAAGGTTCAAGATTAGTCTCTCTCCTCTTTCCCGATTTCAATTCTCTTCGCGGATTAGTTCAATTGATTGTTTTTTCACAGTGTCGTTGTTGGTTTTGAGTCGATAGATCTCTCTGTTCAATCGCGATCGAATTACTTGTGGAATTGTTTGTTTTCTTGGCTCAAAAATCGTGATTCGTTGATCCTGTGGAGTCTTTGCGTGTGTGTGATTGATACTTTATTTTATTTGCGTTTAAGTTAATTTTGCAGCATAATAGCTTCGTTAAATCGTTAAATCTTCGTTAAAGCTTACAGATTTCATATTTTGTAGCTAAAATGGAGACTTGTGGAGGGGTTGATTTGAAGGCTTATAGTCTGATGAAGAGTTCGCTGTTTTCTTTTCAATCTTCTTGGTCTACTAAGAAGAAGAGAAGTTTGAAATTAGCTAAGTCCAAAGGGTTGAGTAGCAGTAGTAGTAGTAAGGAAGAGGGGGACACGAGGTCGCGTCCTGTGATATTGAAAGTCTATTGTAGGAAACGGAAGCGGAGTTTGCGGGTGGATAATGGCTCTCATGATGGAGTTGAAGTTATTCCTAAAGCAGCATCTCATGAGAAACTGCAACACTCTGTAGATGATGAAGATGGTATTGTATTAGGTGATTGGATTAAACAAATGGGGAGGAACAGTGTGAAGAGTGGGGAAGATGAGCGGAAAGAATCTGAGATGAAGACAGTGTCTGAAATAAAAGTGGAATCTTTTCAAGAAATATTACCTAGTTGGAGTTCTGGGGGATTCACTAGTAAAAGGAAGAAGAGAGGCAGAGTAGAACTTGAAGTTAAATCTGAGACGAAGTCAATACCGGTTATGAATGTGGAACTTTCTGAAGATCATGGTTGTACAGTGTTAGCTAGTCCTAGTTCTGGAAGATCAACTGGTAGAAAGAAAGACAGACAGGAAGTAGAACGTGAAGAAGATTTGGCTTGGGAAGAGGAACTTCAGATGATTTCTAAGATCAAGGCTACAAAGCGAAGAAGAAGAGGTTCCCACAGTCCAGAACATGTCACATGTGTTAGTGGTTCACGTTCACGTTCGCCAGATTCAGAGGTGTCAGATTCCCTTCTGAAAAAGGGGTGTTCTGATGACTGCACAAGCATTAATAATTCTTCAAAGGTAACGTGTCTTTATAGAAGCTTCTTGTGGTATTGATCATGAAGGAATATAAACGTGTTCTTTTATTCAAATTTTCCACGCATTGGCAGGAATCTAAGGAAGAAAACGCTATCTGCCATCAGTGCTTGAAAGGGGAAAGGATAACACTTCTCATTTGTAGTGAATGTGAAGAGACCATGTATTGTCTTCAATGTATAAGGAAATGGTTAGTTTCTGTCTTCAGTTCACTCTAATTTTCTGTCTTGTAATAAAATATTTTCCATATCCTTAATTTATTTGTCGTTTGTTGCAGGTATCCACATCTATCTGAGGATGATATCGTTGATAAATGTCCTTTCTGCCACAAAAATTGCAATTGCAACAGATGCTTGCATTTGAATGGTTTAATCGAGGTGTGAGATTATATCTAGCATCCATCCACAGAAGAAGTATTTTTTTAGGACACAATGTTTCTTTGTTAACTGGTATCTCTGCTCTTGAATTGACAGACAACGAAGAGGGAACTCACGGCTTCTGAAAGACGCCATCATCTCCAATACTTGATTGCTTTGATGCTTCCGTTTTTGAATAAGTTATCTGAGTCCCAGAATCAAGAGATTGAAATTGAAGCAAAGGTTCAAGGTACGAATCCTAAGACATGGCTTCAGTTGCTATATGCCATCTGCTAACTTATGACTTGTTTCTGCAGGATTACAGCATTTTGAAGTTGACATTACTGGAGCTGTGAGCTACTGTGATGAACGTGTATACTGGTAAAGCACACTTATGTTATCTATTAGAGAGTTGGGATCATTTTTTAGTTCAACTTAATTTTAGAGCATCTTGCTGAAATCATTTGTATTGCAGTGATCATTGTGCAACTTCAATTGTTGACTTGCACCGGAGCTGCCCAAAATGCTCTTTCGAGCTTTGTTTGAACTGCTGTCAAGAGATTCGCGAAGGTTCTATTTCCCAACGCCCTCAAATGAAGCCGCAGTATGTTAATAAAGGATACAAGTACATGCATGGTTTAGAAATGGAACCGAGCTCCTCTTCTGTTTCTGAGGAAAATGAAGAAGCTAACACGTCCGCAAAATGGAATGCTGGTTCTGATGGTAGCATCACTTGTGCACCTAAAGAGCTAGGTGGTTGTGGTGATTGTATGTTGGAGCTTAAGCGAATCCTACCACGGACCCGGATCTCAGACTTGGAACAAAAGGCAGAGGCTTTCTTAGCATCATACGATAACAGCCCTCCAGCGTCGAAATGTAAGTGTTCTGCCGTGGAGACAGATATGACAAGGAAAACAGCTTCTAGGAGTGGATCAAGGGACAACTACTTGTTCTGTCCACGATCTCTTGATATTTTGAAGGAAGAAGAGCTTCTGCATTTTCAAGAGCATTGGAGTAAAGGTGAACCGGTAATCATTAGGAACGCTCTTGATAACACACATGGTTTAAGCTGGGAGCCGATGGTTATGTGGAGGGCATTATGCGAAAATTTGGATTCAAACGCAAGTTGTAAGATGTCTGAAGTGAAAGCTATTGATTGTTTAGCTAATTGTGAGGTATACTATTTCATTCTGTATTATAATACTTTACATTCTGGAATGATTGGTAGGTTCTAATATCTTTTTATTATCTATAAAAAATCAGGTGGAGATCAATACTCGTCACTTCTTTGAAGGTTATAGCAAAGGAAGAACTTATGAAAACTTCTGGCCTGAGATGTTAAAGTTAAAGGACTGGCCTCCTTCTGATAGTTTTGAAGACCTTTTACCTCGTCACTGTGACGAGTTCATATCGGCATTACCTTTCCAAGAATATAGCGATCCTAGAACTGGGATTCTGAACATTGCAACCAAGCTTCCTGAAGGACTTATCAAACCAGATTTGGGTCCAAAAACGTACATTGCCTATGGGCTTCCAGATGAGCTTGGTAGAGGCGATTCTGTGACTAAACTTCACTGTGATATGTCAGACGCAGTAAGGCTTTCGTGAGTTTGTTTTTACACTATTGGTTTCGTTTCAGTGGCCAAAAACACTCACTATTTTCTTTTTGAAACTCATGTAGGTTAATATTCTGACCCATACAACTGAAGTAACATTAAGTCAAGAACAGATATCTGCAGTCAAAGACCTGAAGCAGAAACACAAAGAACAGAACAAGCTAGAGGAACAGGGCAGTGGAGACAACGACATTACCTGCAGCCAGGAGGAAAAAGCGCTGAACATGCCAGAGATTCTGAGCTGTGAAACTGAGCAGAATCATGACGAAACAGGAAGTGCTCTTTGGGACATTTTTAGGAGAGAAGATGTCCCTAAGTTAGAAGAGTATCTAAGAAAACATTGCAAAGAGTTTAGACACACTTTTTGTTGTCCAGTTACAAAGGTAAACAACACCCATCTACAACAAAACGTGTTTGTGTTTATCTTTTTACCACATCTTTTGACAAGTTCTTCCTTCAGGTTTATCACCCGATACATGACCAGTCATGCTATTTAACCGTAGAGCATAAAAGAAAACTAAAGGCGGAATTCGGTATTTATATTGCTCTCTTCCTGGACTCTGTATTGTCAAACTAAATGTTTTATCTGAAATTGTAGGAATCGAACCATGGACATTTGTGCAAAAGCTAGGAGAAGCTGTATTTATACCTGCGGGTTGTCCTCATCAAGTTCGGAATCTAAAGGTTAACACATATGGTTTCTGATCATCTTCCTCTTTCATGTTTTTACCCTCACGTAATTTGCTTTGTACTTGAAAAACTGATGAGAAGAATTTGTCTTTTGATGTGACATGTTCGGACAGTCGTGCACTAAAGTTGCAGTTGACTTTGTGTCACCAGAGAACATCCACGAATGTCTACGTCTTACTGAAGAGTTTCGTCAACTTCCCAAGAACCACAAGGCCAGAGAGGACAAACTTGAGGTAAGTCTTTTTTTTTTTTCTTTTGTGAGCTTATTATTGCATATTTTTGAGTTTGATATCTGGAACAAGTTAGGAAGGATGGGCATTTGAACCCAACCGATTTATTTAGAAACCAAAATTTATTTTAGAATCTACCCAAAATCAAATTGAACCATCATCTAACAAAGAATGACCAAATTTGTGTTTCCAAAATAAAATAAAAAAAATTATGTTTTAAAATGTACTTCAATAAGTTGTATACATTATTCTGATCATATTTTTTTCTTTACAAATATTTTAAAACTTAACCGAGATGGAACCAGTACATTTCATCCAAATATTTGTTTTGAGGTATTACGCTAATACTTTTTTCCAAACAGAATAAAAAAACAAATTACAAAAAAATTCCCATCCCACTAGTATTAGACTATGATTAATCCCAGTTTCTTAATTGAGGTTCGTAGCTTTGGATAAGAGACGGTTCTTAAGTAAGAGATATAGGAGCCGTCTTTTAGCCGAATTTTTATTAAAAAAAAAAGTCAAATCATAAGTTAAGAATCCCGGTTAAGAGACCGGGGTTAATCATGCCCTTAAGGGTGGTTAATATTTAATGATTGGTAAAGTATATGGTAAAGTAACCTTGTCCAGGCTTTCTTTGATTGTATGTATATTTGTTTGCGGCTACGTTTTCCAGTAACTCACAGCATCTAACATCTTAAACATAATTATTTTGTAAAATGCAGATAATTTTCATTTTCTATGCATTTTATATTATACAAAACTTTTTTGGTCAAATAAAATATGTTTTCTTTAAAAAAATTGTATTGAAGTTTTTTAGAAACAAGTGAGACCTGGCCCGAAATATAGCTCCCGACGGTTTTACTACCAGATGCCTTGAAAATCACTAGGACATGAGTTTGGGCTGTATCTGGAGTTGCGGTTCAAGACCTTTGTCAAGAAGTGTACAATCTGGATAAACTTTTTTCCTGTATCCAAAACCCCCTGATTTTGGTCTAAATCTAGGTTAAAGACCACTTAATTTTGTCTCAAAAACAAATAGAATGGCTCGAATTTGGGTTGCAAGTAGAATTTGTGTACTAACAAAATATTGGGGATTTAGTTGCTGAGTCCCTTGTATCCGCAAGAGATGGAGTTTTAACATAGATGGTTCTAGCCCAAGCAGGTGAAGCGTGAGCTATTATTATATAAAAGAATTCATTTTTTTCTCTTGAAATTTTCTAAAACTGAAGGCCAGCTTTGAGGTTTAGTGCGCCCTGAGAGTTTTAGATTCGTTTCGTTAGTGGGCATCATCTTACATGCAAGTAAATAAGGTTCTCAATGCATCGTTTAGATAACTAGCCCTTGGTTTCCTACCAACTCCTAAATCGCTGCATCCTTGAGATGGTATGATCTTGTTGGATCCTATTTGGATCTGATGGATCATACATGTGTTTTAAATAACACTAGGCATACCAAGGCTAGATGGTCCGAACTAATCTTGTCTTGAGGACTAAGAACATCTCCATTCCCAGTCCATAATTTATTATTCTCCATTCCCAGTCCATAATTTATTATTCAAAGATGGAGTAATATTTTTATTCATTACTTTATTTTCTTATCTATTTTTGCGTAATAAATTATGGAATAGGGATGGGGATGATATAAAGCGTGTCCCTCTGCACCATGGCAACAAAAGTGGGTGGGTTGTTGGTAAGTGGATCCAATTTCTTAGAACGGTCCGACGGATTAATAAATTGACTAGAAGTTAATTACTTGCTGAAGTGTAACAAGTCTTTTTATGTACTAATATGTTTGAGTGGTTCTTATAGTTTAATTTAAATTTGTATAACAAAGTATAGCTTTTGATTAACATCAAAAGTATTTGGTCCAATGATCATAGATCTTTGATGATGCCAAGTATTTAAATATCTAAAATTAAGTGGTTACATGGTTTATTTGGCCCAATGATCTTAGATCTTGGATGATAGGGAATATGCTGAATTCAAGTACATGTTTTCACAACAACGTGGATTCAGATGGTGTATGGTCATTAGAAAGTAACTGTAAACGCATTTGTTTCTAACCACTGTGCTAGTCATATGAATCGCTCTATTTAATTATTTAGTAGTGTTTGAAACCGTAACCATCTGTGAACTCTTGCATTCGTACCCGCAACCATTTCATTTGAATTATCTTCCTCTCTGCATTATGCATTATGTGTCCTTGCATGAATTGAGATCTAACTAAAATACCCCATGGATTCACTAGAAAGTCTATCTATCATTGAATCCTAAGAGAAGTATAGAAATCATGTTCTTTGCCCAATTGGTGCTCACCAGAATTGTTTAGCGCATAAAAATGTGCATACAAAGTGCACAAAAGTGCTTGCCTTTTGGATTCCGCTGGCCTTCTAATCATTATACAATCTTGCCATCGGCTATGTGCGCCTGAATCGCGGTGTTTTAAACATGTAATTCAAAAATCATACAACTAAACGCTAATGCAAGAACCTAACTACAAGTACTTGGTCTCTTATGATACGACCTTTCCCTAATATGATGCTTTATGCTACAACCCAACTTAGATAGCATTTGCCATTCGAAGGGTAATGTGCTTGTGATCCCCACCACAAATAAAAGAAAATGATAGTGTTAATACAGATAAAAATAATAACAATAACAAAAAACATTTACTCGTCAACTTTTTATTATTGTAATATTGGTGAATATCTTGTTATATGGGTGGGAATATGAGATTCACATGCCAAATTTCTTTCACGAACTTTAATTTCCGTTGTTCTCCATGGTCATGCTTTTTCTGCCTCTCTGGTGCCATTCGGCGTTGGAGAGCGCCTCTCCCGCCATGTCCATCTTCCTCTCCGGTGGTCGCTTCTCTTGGTGAAACTCTCTGTCTCTGACTCATCTTGATAACTCGATATGTGGTGTTGAGTGATTTTGTCTGGAAGAGCATAATCTTGGTGAGGGTTGTAGTTGTAGCGGCGACAACATCATCTCCATCTCTCTTGCTAGATTTAGAGGTGCTGGTGAGTTTTGCGTTGCTGCGTGCACTTCCGGTGAGACCTTATAGTTGCTTTGTGCCATCTAATTGGAAGGCTCATTTGGTGTGGGATTAGCTTGTGATCTATGGTCACAAAGCCTCGAACTGTGGCGTGGAGTAGTGAGCTCTACTCCCTCGAAAGTGTCTTTAGCCTTAGTTCAGCGAGCATCTCTCATATTTTTTTTAGATTTGGCTTTGCTTGTTGTCATGGGTTTGAGTAACAGGTTTAGCAGATCAAGTGAGGAGTCTCTTCATTTTATTTTGCTCATGGCTCTCTGAGCTTCAAGAGGAAGTAGTAAAGGCTTCTAAGCTATGTTGCATGGAAACTTTGGTCGAGGTCCGTTTTTTGTTTAGGAAACGTTTCGGAATCAGAATCTCTTGAAAATTTGAGGAAACTCTTTAGAAACACGTTTTTGAAAATTTTCGATAAAATAACTATTTGATTGTAAGTATGAAACAAACAATATAATGGTTTGTTTATACTTATATAAAATGTATGTAGATATATATTACTAATTTATAATTTTGGTGGGACTATGTATTTGTTTAGGGTTTTTTTAAAAATTATTATTTTATTATTTATGAATATGTGTCATATTTGATGGTTTAATTTAGAACCGAATAATTTATTATTTTATGTTATTTATTAATTTATTGACTATAAATTTCGACTTTATATTTTTTCCTTTCTTATTTTGTATTTATTCACTTGGCTGCCTTTTTTTGTGCAACCTGAGCTGACCATTTAATATTGGTATTATTCGTGTAACAGATAAGGAAGATGGTTATCTATGCGATGGAGCAAACTCTCAAAGAATTTGAGATGTCATCGGAAGAGACCAAACAAATGCTCCAATAGTTGAAGACTGCTTTCTGGAGAGTACGGTCTGACTACATATACATGGATATAAGCTATTTTATTGTGCGTTAGCTGTGTAGGGACTCGGATTCTGTATACATATTAGACCATTTACGATGGTCACAATCTCTCAACATCTTAATTTTATTTTCAAAACTCCACATCTTCTCTCTCTTTTTTTGTTTTTGTCTTAAAAGAGTGTTCAATCCAGTAAAACCAAATCAATTAAAACTGAACCGAAATAATCAAACTAGTTAAAACTGAACCGAAATAATCAAACTAGTTAAAACTGCACATAGAGAAAATGGTTTGGATTTGGTAATATTGAATAAACCGACTAGATGTTAATTTTAAGAAACCACGATATATGGATATAGTTTGATATATAAACCGAATAAACCAAAAAAACCGACTAAGTAAAACATATTAGTATATTTATATGAAAATTTTATAATAAAACTAATAATATATACATAATTATTTGTGAATTTGATATTCATATTTGAAACTACTGATTTTGTAATTTTTATTTGTTCTAAGTTAGAAAAAATTCTCACTTTCATCAAATTAAATAAAACATATTTTTATCGGTAAATATTTATGTTAAAATATAGTTATTTATTATATTACGAGATTCATATTCTGTAATTTCATTTTTAATAGTACAAATGAAAACAGGATATCCCCCTATACATTAAAAGAGAAGTCACTTTGACACGTGGCACTCACACAGCCCTTCTCAGAAGAATTCTCTTAATCTTATTGGTTGATTTTTTTAGAATTTATTTTTTGATTTATTTTTATCATCGACAACCTAATAGGAAAGCAACACTAATTACTAACCTCATTACATATTACTTGCACAAGAATATTAATTAATACATGTATTAATAAGTTTTCTTATTACAAATACGGTAAACCATTTACTCTTGATATCATATTGATTACATTGCTTAATGACATTTAACAATTTGTATCTAATTAGGAAACTTATTTTTATTAACTTACCTTACTAATATTGATTACTTGCGCAAGTTAAAATCATATCATATGCATATCATTTTATTAGCTTATCATGCAAGCTAAATCATTGANTATGTATTTTTCTATTGGTTTTTTAATTTACAATTTTAGTTTATATGCGCAGACCAACGATTATGACGTTTCTTCTTGTGGATCCATATGTACTTAAATCTCTCTTCACATTCATGTTATTCAGAGACATGAGCATTACAAATGATCATATCATCCAAAACACGTAAACTACAATGTAAGTTTCATGCTTTGTTACTTTTTCTACGTTTTTCAAATAATTATTTGCTGATACACTAAAGAAAAAAAATCTTTAATCAATATTTTACTAT